AGTTTCACCGACTCATCAGGAGGCTGAACCCTCAACAGTCTGCAGAATCCCCTCACTGATTACACTGTAAATGATAATCTACCTTAACCAAAATCAAAGTAGACTATCACTCACCCACACCAGATGGAAAACTCTACATATATATATTATAAACATATATATCGTCATTATATAAACAATTCTAAAAAAGACCAAGGGTCTTTCTGGACATCCGCTAAAATTGGAACAATATAGAGTCGTTCGGTCGTTCATATGAAATTTAGCACAAAATGTGATGCTTTACCCTCGTGGAGGACATTATGTGCTACATCTATGTGCTACATCATGAGAATCAATGGAGTGCACACTGCAAGACCAAGGCTGCTGGCTTCAGAAGTTTACCTGTGGTTAATGTGCACCATGACAGGAGTGGCCATGGCAACATATTAAAACCACCATGCAATTGAGAGTTAAGCTATCAACTTAGTATCAAGTGACTACGGTTAAAAATGAGAGAATTTTAATAGAAGACATTGCAGACCCGGCCGCAGGGAAACACAAACTGACACCTGACCTTGGTTGAGTTGGATCAAAAGGAGTTGCAAATACGAAGTGGTCCGTTCCACCAAGAGTCCATTCGATGGTGACCTGATATACTGGAGTCTTAGGTTACAGAAGCATTTGAATTAAATCCATACCATAAGAAAGAGCAAACATCAATATAGATTCTGAGAAGAGCCATATGAGGCGAACGTCTCATGTATGTTTCGGAAGCCGAGCCATATCAGCAATGAGATGTTTTAGGTTAACAAAATCTTTTTTAGTCTTCATTACTTACTTCCTTTTATAATTGCAGGTGCTAGTATTCTTCATATTGCTGCTTTACATCAATATGGTTCCAATAATCCATTGGGCATAAACTCTTCTTCTCACCTTCAATGACTGAGACACTACTCCACTCCTTCGCGTCCTTGGTCCGGCTCCAGATGTGGAGGGCTTCAATGTACGGTGCAGCAGATTCAATAGCGTAGATGTATTCGACAACCAGTATGCCAAGACACTACTGTTTTCAACATTTTGCTGTTGGCAGACATGCAGGCACGCATGCACACATGCACACATAAAGTGGCAGTCAAAACCTCCTTTCAAAGATAACAAATACGAACATATAGAACTTGATAAAAGGTGTGTGTGTGTGTGTGGTGTGTGGTGCAAGCTGTCAGCAGACTCGCCACAACAAAACACCATCGGTCAAAGAGAAATACTTGAGGCTTAGAGGGTGGTCCCCCCACATAATTCAAACATGGCGCGTTTTACTTACTTCTTGAAATGAAAACCATTGGACAAAAACATACAGGGCTATCACCTTCTCTGGCCCTTTCCTACCCAGGATGCATTTGACTTGCCACGGAAATAGGAACCCGAGAGATGCTTCCCCAGAATGGATATGAAGCCCGGGCCATAAGGACCTGTGTGTGTGTGCGTGTGTGTGTGTGTGTGTGTGTGTGTGTGTGTGTGTGTGTGTGTGTTGTCATATTCACTATACACTGAAAAAAAGCATGACTGTGCCAGACTATTTCGTTGGACTTTCACTGACTTATCAGGAGGGAGGTTGAACTCCAACAATCTGCCCAGAATGCATTTGACTGATGGATAAGCAAGGACTCACCACATCGCCCAGAGTTAGCAACACCCCTGAGAAAAGTGGTTGACTTTACTCTGTGTGTGTGTGTGCGTGTGCGTGTGTGTGTGTGTGTGTGTGTGTGTGTGTTGTAATATTCCCCCACAGCAGCCCCTATTCCACCCAGACAAGTAGATTTCAGTTGAGCCAGCCCAACAACTAAAGAATTCACCTCTAGCAAGCAACACGAATCCTAAGTGAACAATTTTGAATTGTGTTTAGTTGGGGTTTCTTTGGGCCAACGGCTCCTCTTTTGCCATGCCTCACACGTACAAGGCTGCCCGCGTCGATTGTGGTTGAGAGGCAGCTGCCCACATCCCCGTGTGCCTTAACAGCACACTTGCACGTTACAACAGGAGGCAGAGTAAAAGGGAAGGTATGCTCCTGTGCGTTTCTCTTCAGATCTTCATACTCCTGTTTATTTCACTTCTGATCTTCATATCATCTGTTCTGTTAACGATGCTCATTCGTATGTTTTTGCTAGTAGCACAAGAGGGGAGGGTGGAGGGAAAGGGATAGAAGGTGGAGTTCCTTAGGAGTGTTGGTTAGGGGGAGGTGGAGGGCAAAGAGCAGGAGAGAAATATGTGAAGGGCAGGATAGAGTATGACACGCAAAGGGCAGGAGAGAGGTGTCTGACGAACTTCGCAAAACTCTAAACACTCACCCCTGGAAATGTGTGTGTGTGTGTGTGTGTGTGTGTGTGTGTGTGTGTGTGTGTGTGTGTGTGTGTGTGTG